ATAATCACTCTGCCCACCGCCACCGGTGCTGCGCTGTCTCCCGCTCCGGCACAGTGCTGGAGGAATCTGTCTCTCTTCTGCTCATGGAGCCCCATTTCTGCCACCGCTGTACCGAAGGCATAAGGTCCAAGCCACGCGAAAATCCTGGACCTGGACCTTCTATCAGCCCACTTCCCAACTTTCCCTCAGTCTGCTGGGACACTTCCCAGGAGCAAGGTTCTCGGGTTCTCCACTAGCAATGCACTCACTGAGCAGCATGTTTGTTTTGCGGGCTCAGGGTTCCTCGGATCTATGGATCCCTTTGGGATATTGTTCCCTTTCAGCCTAGTACCTCTCATGCAACTACCCTTCCTTTGCCTGCCTCTCCTCGAGCCCCCACCCCGTTTTAGTGACTTCCTGTTGCCTGCAAGATGTAGGACTCCCAGCTATCTCTCCTGTATTATGTGTGCCTGCATGCTCCCAAGCTCTCAATCATGGTGATAATAGGCTGTACCTTGAAAATATAAGTAAGCCCTTCAATTAGTTAGTGATTAATTAAGGGATGAGGGAGGGCCAAGCTGTGCTGGGTGGTGCCATCTCTGGTCTTGAACTACAGATCCAGCCAAGTGCCCATGGCTAGTGAGATCATGGGGCTTAGAGGAGATTCTACTCTTGTCACTGTACTAAATCAGTCTAATCCTGAACTGCATTCTAAAGACTTGTGCTTACATCGACAGCTAAGTGTAGCTCTTCCCCACCCTCTATTAGCTTCTTTTGAAGCAGATGGAGACTGTTACATAAAGTCTACCTGGTTAAAATGCTGAGAATATTGACTGCTGTGAGAAACATCTCCAATCAATGCATCTCCAACACAGCTCCTTCACCTAGTGCTCAGGGAACATTGTGGAAGAGGAGGAAGAAAGACGGGAAGAGCCAGAAAACTAGGGAGTCTGCTGTAAGTTACAGCGGGGAAGCTGCACCCGTGAAATCTCAACAGTATGGCTGCTTAAAGAAGACATGAACAATGACAATACCGGCTGACACACCACTGTGGATGTGTTTCTCTCACAGGTCCCATCCCTAGATGAAGAGCTGTGGTCATTTAATGACGGGTGAGAGTAGGAGCCTTTGTTTTTCCAGGGATGATATCCTAATGGTTATGGGGTCCAGGTGGTCTTGAGAAATGCTCTCTAATCATATACATACAAGCAACACTCCATGAGCTCAGCAGTTATATGTAAATATTTGTTTGACTATATGTATTTATGTATACATATATGCATGTGACAATAATTAAAGAAAAAGAGGCCATTATGAATTTGAGAGGGAGCAGGGTGGGGCCATAAGGAAAAAAAAGTTATTTAAAATATGAGAAAGAGAAAAACTTTTGTTTCTCTAGTTTGGTTTCCCTTAGAAAATTCCCTGCTCCTATGCTCCTGATGAGGTTCACTTTAATATTACCTCGACCAGGGGCTAACAAACCCCAGTGAAACATACAGAGGAGGGGGCAACCTGGGTATATTCGACTAGTGCTTGCCACCCTCAGCTAGTCATTTGTTTTTGCAAGCTGAAAATAATAGAAAAAAATAGCTATGGGTGTAAACAGATAAAACCAGGAGAGGAATACTACATGTCAGGAAAATATATGAAATTAAAATTTAGTGTTTAGTGTAAGAGGACTGACCATGAAGGAAAGGAAGAAATCTGAAGGGAGGGGGAGGGGACAAGAAAAGGTAATAGAGCCCATGTGTCATGAAAGGAGGGAGGCTGTCTGGGGAGAGGAAGGGGCCAGGAAGAGAGGGAGGAGCAGAGGGGAGGAGAGTAGGGGGAAAATATGAACAAAGTTTGAATATATATGTATATGTATGTATATATACATATGCATACACACACATATATATGTATGCCATGAAACCCATCTCTGGATGCTAATCAATTCAATGAAAGAAATAGCATGATACTGCAACCACGGCAAAACATAAAATCAAACAAAAGGTAGTGTCTACAAACAGCATGGTGCACAGTTGGAGCACAGCATGGTCATTTGATGTTCTGTCGACTGTTCACCTTTGAGACTGTGTCAGCAGAGCTGTACAGGTGTGACAGAGACCCACAGAGCCTACAATATCAGTCATCATGTCCCTTACTCAGTTTCCCTCCTTTCCTCTTGATACGTCATAAAGCATGCCTTGTGGATTGAGCATTTGCTATGAAGTTATTGTTAGATATTATGTTATGTTCTCAGATGAGACGCCCTGTCGGTACTTAGAATCAATGAAAAGCACCTCTATCTTCAACTGGTCTTTGCTCCACTGTTGATAATACCTAATACAGAACCCCCTTCCCCATTGCCCTGCCTGCCAGGGTCCTCTAATCCGTGGGCTGCTCAGTTACAGCAACTCTTTAGTCCTCATGGCTTCACACTTGCTATTGTCGTTCCTAAGGTTGCTGCACTGCATGGATGTTACTGCGTTTGTATGTGTGTATAGATGCCTCAAGTCCTTCCTGTTTTCCTTCTTCCCTTTCTTTCTGTTTTGAATGGGAAGTGGTGGGACTGATTAAGTCAGCTGATGGTCTTTAAGCCTGGACCACACCACATTTTAAGGCCCTGGAAGCTACAAGTGGGCAGTAGAAGGAACATCCTTTCTTTCTTTCTTTCTTTCTTTCTTTCTTTCTTTCTTTCTTCCTTCCTTCCTTTCTTTCTTTCTTTCTTCCTCCTTCTCCTCTTTGTCCTCCTCTTCCTCCTTCTTATTTTTTGTTTTTTTGAGACAGGGTTTCTCTGTGTAGCTTTGGAGCCTGTCCTGGAACAAGCTCTTGTAGACCAGGCTGGCCTCAAACTCACAGAGACCTGCCTGCCTCTGTCTCCCAAGTGCTGGGATTAAAGGCCTGTGCCTCCACCACCCAGACTGGAATGCTTTTCTTTGAGTGTAGCTCGGATTTCAAAGGTGGCATCTCCTAGCCCTGAGAGGCTGTGCCCCTTGGCATCCAGACCCTGTACTTCCCTGTCTTTGGTGTGACTGTCCTCATTGACCTGATGTCAGAGAGAGGTGTTAAGTGTGAATCCTGACATTGAAGGCTGAATACAGTTCTTCCACTGTGAGTCTCCACTTCTCTAAGCCTCGCTCTTCTCATCAGGGAGGGACAATAGCAGTATTTCTCTCGAGAGTGTTTGTGAGATTCAAGTGCAAGCCAGATGCAAGTGAAGCCCTGGGCACAAGGCCTGACATAAGTGGGGTGCTCAGCAGACCCTTGGTAACCCCTTGGCCCTTGGGAACAGAAGTGACGAGGAAACCTATGGTAATGGATTCTCCTCATGTCAGCTCCCTGCTCAATATACCAGCTGTGTTCTTGTGTTGGAGAAGACAATGCACCTAGTTCCAAGGGCCTCCTGGGAGCAGGGTTGAGCCCAACAGTGAGAGACTCCAGGGACAGGATGTCTACGCTGCCCTCTAAGGTTCTCCAGGTTCTGGGTGCTATGCTGGCATGTTGCCCCAGGGAACTGAGTCTTTGTTCATGTCTTTGTGTCACCTTAAAAAGCTCATGCCGCCTGAGCAGTGAATTTAGAGTTTCTGCTGGAGGCCATTTCTTTCTCAGAGATTTCTGATTGTTGTTCTATAAGTTGGATGGAGGATCTCCAGCCCAAGTTAACCCCTCTGATGTTGAAAGATTGGGTGACTCTTGGTCCGGAAACTTGTGGTCTGAGGGTGTGGCTGGAAAAGCTTGCTGAAAGTGTGAAAAGGGCTCTTTGAGTGAGAAAAGACTGGGAGAAAACAGCTACTTCCTCAGTGCCCACTATGCTTCAGACAAGTACCCTTTGAACACTTACAACGATCCTATTATATGGTGTGATGATCAGTATTGTCAGTTAACACAGGATCTAGACACTCCTAGCTGAAATGTCCCTGGGAACACTTGTGGGGACAGGTTAGGTAATCTGAGGTAGGAAGGTCCACCTTAATTGTGGGCAGCACCATCCCAAGGGCTGGAGTCCTGCACTGAATATGAAGGGAAAGTGAGCTGAGCCCAGCATTCATCTCTGTTTTCTGACTAAACACAACGTGAGCAGTGGTTTCATCCTCTTGTGCTCTGACTTTTCTGCTCTGATGGACTGTGTTCTCCATCTGTGAGCCAAGCAAACCCTGTCTTTTCCACATTGCTTCTGTCACAATGACACAACAAGTAACTAGCACCCTGGGGTTAGTAACTTTGTCACAGTGACATACCAAGTAACTAGCATCCTGGGGTTAGTAACTTTGTCACGATGGGATACCATGTAACTAGCACCCTGGGGTTAGTAATTTGAATAGGATTTCACCATGGAGCCCAGGTTGGTCCTGAACCCAGGCTCCCTCAGCTTTGGTGGAAAGAATGGACTTTGAAGGGAGAGACAAGAGTTCGGTGTGGGCAGGAATTTCACAGAGCAGGAGCAGGATGAAGGAGGATGAAGTCATTTCTCAGGTCTCACTGTTCAAGATCCCGGCCCTGCGTCTGCCTGTATGTGCCGTGATCCTGGACAAGGTAACCTCTGACTCTAGATCTTGTGCACCGGAGAGAGAAGGCTCATTTGTGAAGCTACTTGTTGCTTGAGAAGAGGAAGAGGCAAGGGTATAACCTGTGTAAGTTGAAATAAAGGAAGCCAGTAGAGGACACTGGCTGAAGCTGAGGCAGGAGGTTGTCCTCTTCTCAGGGCCCAGCTCAAGAGAAGAGACCTTGAACTCCAAGACCTGCATGAACCCCAGAACCCTCAGTTCCCTCTCATATTTTGATCTGAGTTCTGGGTGCCGGTTGGACTAGGCTCATAGCTGACCCCCATGGGTTCCAGTTTCCCTTGTGTCCAATGCAACTTCAGCACTGCAGAGCCCAGAAGGATCATTGGCAGCCTGTGACTCCTAGTACTCCACTATGGCTCCTCTGACTTTCCTTTTAAGTTCTCTGTCCTAGGTCCCCATAGGGTTGGAGGCTCACCTGTGAAGAAACCTCATCTAGTGGACTTGAAGTCCCTTCCGCAGTCATCAGCTTACCTTTGCTTCTGAATCCAGACTTCACAGGTTCCCATTCATCAAGTTTCTTCTTTGATATCTGAAAATGTCTCTGAGATTCATGGTCTGTGCTCAATCGTTTCTCGGTATCTGTCCATTCAAGGACCTGCATGCTGGCTGTGCTTATGGTTGTGGAGGAAGAATGTTCTATGGGAAGGAGACAGTGGTTGTGC